TGGTACAATTTTAAACATAATACCATTTGCAAAATGTTTGTACTCGAGACTGTCGTGGGCATTTCCATAAATATTCACCATATTCTGTTTTTCTCCGGAAACTGTTTCATTTTCCCTCTAAAAGGATCAACATGAATACAAAAACTATCATAAAAACGGAAAGACGAGAATGAGTATACGTGAGAAATCGAGGAAAAGGAGTTTCAAATAAAAATTCCAATCAGCCATAGGGACGTTTTGCTCGATGTGTTTATAGGCAAGCACAGTTTGAGTTATGTTTCGACTGCGGTACGAGCTGTTCCAAAACCGGAGCACAGGAAATGCATAACGTAGCGCCAGACGTATTATAGGCACTCGCAGCCGCACGCTAGGTTTCCGATGTATCGAGTCAGTAGCGATATCGTAAATTCAATTTGCTCAACACTGCATTGATATTTAAAGTACGTACGCTATCCAAGCCCAACTTTTAGAATAATAAGGAAATTATTCAAATTATGGTCGTCGACTCAGCCAATCAATTTACATTATTGAGCAAATATTTAAAAGCATAATGATTTTAATGCCGACGACGACTGCGGTGATAGCCTCTCGATATCAAAATATCAATAAATCTGAATAGGATAATTTGGCATAAAGTCCCAGCCACCTCAAACAGCTAGGCTAGTGGAGGCTTTACTTGGAAATACGCCAAGAACATTAACACAAATAATGTGAAGTAATAGACAAGAGTCTGGCTGTGCACGAATTCGATGCTACGCAAAACAACATGGTGTCTGAGACTGCATCGATAGCAAAAGCAAGTTTCAATCAGCAAAAAAATACTAACTATTTACTAATAATGACGAATAAAATGCTTGAACCCAACATTTTCTTATTAGGTTAACACATCGATATTTTTTTAATCCTGACATAATACATAATTATACATAGTTTATTATAAGTCTGGCGTGTTTGTGTGTCTCTGCACGTCTATGGCATTGCAGTACCAAAACAGATTTAACAAATTCAAGATACTACAGTAGTTATCAGTTTGATATTCCGGTGCACAAAAGCAATATCGTCAAAGTGACGGGATACGAAATTATATCGATAATTTGTAAAGTATTTTAATTTATTTTATTTGTTAAATAACAAGAGCTGATGATAATCTAATTATAGATAAAGAGGTTTAAAGCCAAGATGGGTAGTAGAGGACTAAATCACCTTTTTGAAGAAAAAAATTCAAGGTTTATCAACTCCTTACCAGTTTGGTATCGCGTTTGGGTTCGTTGTATGGATTGAATACATTACGGTAAATATGAACTCATTTTATTTTACTTTTCCCGGTTTAAATCCATTGAGACCCTTTGAATAGATTTCCTAAAAGCAGAAAATTTGCCTATGTGAATGTTAGGGATGCCACATCCGCATGTGGACAAAAAATATACTCTAAATTCAGTAAAAATGGACACAATTTAACGTCGTCCTTTTAACGCATTTTATTTAATTAAGCGATAATACGATCAGTTTTATGATAAAAATGCATCTATTGATTAGCCAAAAATATTGTCGATGTTGCCAATAATCACTTTGAAAAGTTATTTTTATTATTTTCCTGTTTTCCTATTTTTGTCGAATTTGGCCAGTATACTTGTTAAAAAATTATAATTTGATATTGTCGAAAGCAGGTTGTTATTTAAAGAATGTTAGATATTAAAAAGAATCTGTTTTGTTCAGACACCATGTGAGACTGATACTAAAAATAGAAACGACGCATAACTGATGTAAATCGGCTGTTGCAAATGCACATGACGTACGCCTCTCCTACACATGAATAGAACCTTAAATCTACTGTTCTCAGGGATTTGTAACGAATTATGCTACTGCCATTGTAATGCTCCCTAAAACCCTCTTATTTTGACGAAAGCTTAGAACTCCTTTAAAAAGTTAAATACCTAATTAAGTACATCGGTACATTTGTTGTAAAATCCTCTACATTTGAAATAGCGTCATTACAATACAATTAGAAAATCAAAACGTTCAAATTATATCTAATTGGATTACGGCTTTCGTAGCCTTCAGAAATGGGACTTGTAAGATTTGAAATCCACAATAATTTCAAGGACTAAGACAAACGTGAGCGAGGTAATTGTTAATTAGTAAGTTCGCAACTGTGTTATGTGTACGATCAGAGACGCGAATGCTATGATTGATGATGCAAATCTGACGGTTGTGTTGTGTGTATGAGTCAAGCTTTGTGAAGGTCGCGTGCCGAATACCGCCCTCGTCAGCTGATAACACAGCCAGCTAACGTATTTAACTGATCAGTGACATACCTACTACGTTCTACGAATTTGAGTAACACTTCTACCTATAGCACCAATATTTTTGTAGAATAACAGATTGTTAAGCGTGGCAACTTTGCAGGCAATATAATACATATTATTATAATCTTTTGATGCACGCAATGTGGACGTCATGGCAACATAACACAAGCAGAAGGCAATAACTAGTCGACTGCTCGTTGCAAAAAAAGACTGATTACTACGATATTCATCTTCCTCGTGTTACGAGTACTGAAAATTCGATCAAGGAAAGCCTCGTAGCCGTTTTTGTGGCAACGTTGAACATTGTAATCGAAAAACCTACGGCAAAATATAAATGTAGTTAACAACCGTATCAGTTCGGAATATAAATAAAGTTTGATAACACAATGACGACACGGGTTTTATTTAGCGACACCATTGTGAATATAATTTGAATATCGGATGCTCGTGAGAATATTTCTAAAACGAAAGGTGTCGTCTTTATCGGGAAGAAAGGTTTCACATGTCGGCTTTATAGTCTGTAGTGCAGTGGCTGTACTTAAATGCAAGATAGCTTTGCGGGACGCTCTTTGTATCGGCAGTAGAACAAATATTTGTTTGTTATTTCTTATTTACGGCACTAGAAGCCGGCTTTTCTGTCGACAGCGAACCGGAGCCGAACTTAGAGCTTAAGTTGGATCGATAGGAATTGCATGCCAAAGATTCTTAGTTGACGAATATTTTATAATTGTTTATTACTTATTTATTGAGCTTTAAAATCTGCTGATAGGACGAGATTATGGAACAGTCACGTAAATGGTCAGTCTTTTGGGTATGGTTACTTAGGATATTAGAGTACAGACAGATTCTGTTAATTAAGTAATTTCGAAAACGACTAGTACATGTATTATAAAGATTGATTCTGTAGGTCTGACTTTGAAACTTTAGCCAATATTAATATACTTAATACAATAAAAGGGTGGAAATTAGCTATTGGCCATAGTACAATGTAAAAAGCTTTCAATTAAATGTACCCAATAAAATTCAAATCAGAATCAACAGCTGGTGTAATGATTAACATGAGAAAACACTCTAAAATATTAAAAATAAATGTAGTTACATACTAAAATGCAGATGTAGATAAAAGTCATAGCTCAGTAATGTAAATATTGATATGATTTTATGTGAATCATGATGAGGTCATTTACATACAAATACATAATCATTTAATAATTATAAATAGGTACATTGTACCATATAAGTACCTATATTTCAGTTACTTATGTGTAACTAAAGTTACATTGGTAAAATGTACTCTAGATTAATGAGGAATAAGAATTATAATTAGGTAGTATTAATCATTACTGAATACAACAAATGAAATCCCTAATACCTAACAAAACAATAATGAAATGACAATTTATTTCTGTAAATAAATAAGTAAATAACATATCAATTTATACATAGAATTTTCATGCAGTATTATTATGGTTTAAATTAGAGGAATAATATTACCTACCATTGCAAGTATATTTTGACAATTAAAAGAATTTAAAAGACCAGCTTACAATAAATCCAATAAAAATAATGATCTACTGTTACATAGTATCTTTAAGAGTTTGTACAATAAGTACTAATATTATATTGATAATAAGAATCTAATAAGCTTTTATTGAGCATGTAAAATATGGGACCCACTAACAAATAAATACTTAGGTAGTTCGATAAATGATGTTTGTATGGCAGAGTACAAAATTAATTTCTTATCGGGCCCTAAGGCCCACAGACCTATAATTGGTTATGAGGCTCTATAGTCATTAACAGAATTGAGAAAATTAAGTAAATTTACTGTTGAATCACTACCGAGACTATCAAATAGAATAATATGTAGAGAAATGATATTCCTAATTTTTTTTACCTTTACATTACATTGTTTTTATATTTAATACTAGCGACCCGGCCCGGCTTCGCACGGGTGCAATATGCATGTATTATACATACAAACCTTCCTTAAGAATCACTCTATCTATTAAAAAAAACCGCATCAAAATCCGTTGCGTAGTTTTAAAGATCTAAGCATACATACGGACATACAGCGAAAGCGACTTTGTTTTATACTATGTATTGATATACCTTATATATAAGGGTTAAAATTACATTGGGTAAAACACTTTTAACAGTTTGAAAGGGGAACTATCACTATCAGTATTCCCCATTGTTATGAGGAAATTATAGATTTGCATTTAATGTTGGGTAACAACACAATAAAAGATAACATTAAAAACCAAATAAAAATCATTACTGGAGTTACCTAGTAAAATTATTATGTTTTATAAGTTAGTGGGCAGATAGCCTTTCCAATGAGGTTATCCAACTATGAAGTTACTTACTAAATTATTGATCAAAAAACAATGGAAATGCAGATAAAGTAGGTAGTTGGTAAAATTGCGGAACGCAACAAATTGTCTCGCTTCAATGACAGCTATCATTCAGCGGTGTCAAGTCCGGGGTGGGGCGACAAGAATTAAGAACACCATTGGAAGTACCTAGGTTCCTCGAAAGTGACTTCTTAGGTCTATGAGAACCATGACCGCAGACATCAATATGCTTGACTGATGTGAAACACGATTTCAATGCTGGTTCTTGATGAATTCGAGGTCACCAGTAAAGCCTTTGGTTATAGCAGCGTTGAGAAACTAAGGAAAACCAACTTACCGCTTGGAGCGCCGCTAACCTATCCTTCGTCATCCTTTACAGAGAATCACACACCAAGTAAACGTTTTATCTCGTTACACAATCCCATTCACAGATATTTTTCTAACAAACGTCACTAAACTAAAGGACACGAACACTACGTTCACTTCACTCAAAAAATCGATACACACGAAACGAACAAAACTTCACTACCTGTCTCATGTACTATGTGAAATTTAGCAAAGTTGTAGATGGCGCAACTGTTCCTTATTGTGTGTGACGTCAAGAGAAGTGTCGGTAAAGCAGCAAAGGCGCTAAAATCATTTTAATACTTTTTTACATAGTTAAGTTTAAATGTTTTAAAAACGCTACCAAAAGTTAACATTAAAAATAAATCATAGAATTAGAATTGATAATATAATATTATTATCTAATTTATTGTTGGCTTTTATGATTTTTGAAAATTTATAAAATCTACATTTGACTTCCAGAGTCATTGCGCCAGTCGTTGTCAAAGAAATCTTCCGCTTAGTCAAGTGACGCCATTGTGAGCCGTAACGACTTTAAGCTGCAACGAGTTTAATCTCGATTTTCTTTAACAATCTTGGTAATAAGTGTTTAGATTTTATGTAATTTCGTTCTATACTTCAAATCCTTGTTGTTTTATTATATATTTATGTTATTAGTTGTGTAGTTCTAGTGTAATTCGTGTTAATGTTCGGTACTATAGAGCTAAATTCCTGTGAGCCCAGTTGAGCGCCATTCGGTGAAAAGTTAAAGCAAATTTAAGTTGTCAATTTCAAAGGTTCAGTGAGTTTTATATTTTCCCCGCTAAGTGTTATTTATTGTTTTATTTTACGGCACTCAAAAGATCCTAGAGACATCAAAGAATCGACTCGTTTGCGCCAAACGGTCATAGACCTAACGTCATGCAGACTTTGTCATTTTTTTGCTAATCTTAAACTTTTCCATTACTTTTCAGAATTAGAAATAAATATCTACAAAAATGGCAGATGATATGCCCACATTCAAATGCGTGCTAGTTGGTGATGGTGGTACTGGCAAAACAACATTCGTCAAACGACATTTGACTGGAGAGTTCGAGAAGAAATACGTTGCAACACTCGGCGTCGAAGTGCACCCCTTGGTCTTTCACACAAACCGTGGTCCCATCAGATTTAACGTATGGGATACAGCCGGCCAAGAGAAATTTGGAGGATTAAGAGATGGCTACTATATCCAAGGCCAATGTGCCATCATCATGTTCGACGTAACCTCCCGTGTCACTTATAAAAACGTACCAAATTGGCATAGAGACTTAGTTCGTGTATGTGAAGGCATTCCCATTGTTTTGTGTGGTAACAAAGTAGACATCAAGGACAGGAAAGTCAAAGCAAAAACAATTGTTTTCCACAGGAAAAAGAACCTACAGGTAAGACCTTTTCCATTTCTCACTCACTCATATTTTGAAAGTTCTATTCTATAATTAAAGATTAATATTTAATTTGGTTTTCTTGTTATGATTTCAGTACTATGACATCTCTGCGAAGTCTAACTACAACTTTGAAAAGCCCTTCCTGTGGTTAGCTAGGAAACTGATTGGCGATGGTAACCTAGAGCTTGTTGCAATGCCTGCTCTCTTGCCTCCGGAAGTCACAATGGACCCACAATGGCAGAACCAAATCGAAAAGGATCTCAAAGAAGCCCAAGACACTGCACTGCCGGAGGAAGATGAAGACTTGTAAATACAGCAATAAATAGCTAATGCTAAATTTCAGTACTATACTACATTAATTGTGCAATTTTGTACACCAATGTATCAATTTAAATTTTCATTCCATAATTTCAAGTGCTCCATGAGTTTGTATTAAATTCATTGCTAACTTATTGTCATAATTTCTAGTTTTGCTTTAATTAATCATAATATGAAAGAAAATTAAGTCATTTTTCTCAATGGCACTTGAAGTAAGTAATATTTAATGTCATGTAACTTTGTATTTGTATTCTTTTTACCCATAGAGTTGGGCCTATTTTATTTATTAATTGTGTATAGGTCACTCATGTTTATCCTACACATAAGCCTTCCTGATGGTACATTTACTATAGTTAATGCTTAACTGTTACAGTAGCATGTACATAACCAGTGCGTAAGTTTTGTTTGTACACGACTGACAATATGACATTGTAAATTGTGGTGATAAATTTTTGAAATAAAGTTCAAAAAATACTTTGTTTTGTTTTATTAAGAGATGGGTAACTCGGGAGTGATAAATACAAATGATATGAATCATTCCATTTGAATCAATCACTCTTCATATCTTTACATATCCGAATGTGTTGGTAGTTCATTATAATTAACTTTCTTTACACCTCACTCACTCGTCGGTCATCGCGTCGGGTACTATCTGAATGAGAATGAGACCGCAAACTGAACATAGTTCTGATAATTTGCAGGTTGACACAACTTTCAGTGGACTCGTTACAATTTTATGTCATTGGACTTATTCAGCATACTACCAAATTAAAAATCACGTTTTGACGTTTTATTTTTCACAGTTTCACTCAAATTTGACACCTTCCTCACTTTGCCGGATTATAGTACTAAGTGTCAATGTGGTTGTATATGCGGCTCCTGATAATAAAAAATATTTTCTAAGGAATGAACGCAAAAGAAAGTAAGAAAAAAAATGTATGGTCGTTCTTTATGATGTGTTTTACATAATAAAAATACGTCTTGTGTGATTGACGGCTGCAATTCACATTTAGGAAGAAAAGAAAACAGTTGAAAAAATTCACATTCATTCGTAAGTTTTTAATTTGTTTTAAAATAAATTTATACTGGAAATACCGGTAAACTATAAATAAATGTTACTTATTTATTGTCGTACTTTTCAATTGTAAGCCTAAACAGTATTATTCCATCTTTTCCTAAAAAATCTAAATCAATTTTTCTATTGTTAGTTTTTAGGCTAGTGATGTGGTCATGTTACATATCGATATTTTAGTTAGGCTTTGAAGTTCTTTATGGTATAGACGTCGTTTAGAACCTGAATCACATGATACTTTTGATGATTTGACAGAACACGACTATATTTTGTACCCATCATCTCTTACGGAGTATTCTAAAAATTTCATAGAATATATAACCGTCTTTATCGGAACGAAATTAAAAAAAAATCTTTACAATGCGAAAAATGCAAAGAAAGTATTGAGAACACGGAGAGTATTCCTTAAAGATCTTTGATATCTATAAGAATAGAGGAGGCCTATTTAACCAACCAACATATGGCTTAACCAAGATCTGTCAACTGTCTGAAAAAATTATAAGAGAATATCAAGTGCATATTGAAACAAAATCTCTCGGTAAACTAAAATAATTATTAGATTGATTATTGTATTAATGTATTGTCGTCAGAAATTTTTCGTGAATTAAAATATTATTCATTAAAACAATCTTTCTATGATGATCTAGAAATCTTCTTATAAAGTCCTTAGCACAAAAATATTTTAAACTTAGGATACATTATATAAGTAAAAATGTTACTGTACTTATGTACCTACCGAAAAAATTCGCACATATTTAACAAAGACAATAATATTTAAAGGTCAATGATAAACACATTGCACCATTGCCACGATTTGTAAATATGCTTTGTTTATGAGCAATTAAATTATCTTTTTAATAATGTGTTTTATTTCTGAACCCACGACATCCAGATCGAGAACTTAATATACGTTAGACCACAGCAGCAATACTTTCAGGTACCATAATTTATCGATAAAATATATTAATTTATTCCATCACTAGCATATTTCCAAGTAGTGACAACCTGCATAATAACGAAACGAACCAATACACATGTCTCTCTCTTATACACTATCAATACCATAAGTAAAAAAAGATGAAGATATGGAGTCTTGTTGTTATTTTAGCCTGGCTTCCATGCTTTAGTTATTGTTCCGAGGTGGCGTCGGATAGCTTCGTCGCGCGTCATTGGTTAAACGTCAAGCAAGTCGAATTTTGCCGAATTGCTCCGAACGACCGAGCGGCGGGCGTTCGAATGGAACCTTTCGGGAAGTCGATTTTTGACTTGAAATACACATTTTGAACTAAAATTTAATTTTCACATAAATACGTAGGTAGACAGTCTACAAATAAGCCTGTGTTAAATAAGAAGGGATCCATCAGACGTCTCGAACTACAGACCGATTAGTCTCATGGCTAGCCTATACAAATTGTTCTCCCAATGCCTACTGAGAAGAATCGGACCTAAGATTGATGTGAAACAACCCGTAGAACAAGCTGGGTTTAGGTCGAACTACTCTACAATAGACCACATTCACGTTCTCAGCCAAGTGATTGAAAAATACAAAGAATATAATTCCCCTATCTACATAGCCTTTGTAGATTATCGGAAAGCCTTTGATTCTATTTCACACACGTCAATCAAGGAGGCTCTACGATATCACAAAATAGAGAAGACGTATATAGACATTATCAATAACATATACGAAAACTGTAAAAGTAAAGTTAGACTGGAGAGAACTGGACCAACTTTCAAAATAGAGCGTGGCGTTCGTCAAGGAGACCCCTTGTCTCCAAAAATCTTTATAGCCGTTCTGGAACTCATTCTCGGACACCCATACTGGAAAAACAAAGGTATAAAAATAGACGGGCAGTACCTGAGTCACTTGCGCTTCGCGGACGATATTGCATTACTAGCTAACACCGCTGAAGAAGTCAAAGACATGCTAACAACTCTACAATTAAGAAGCATCAAAGTTGGATTGGAAATAAACTTTGAAAAAACAAAAATAATCACCAACAGTAACCCAAATCCAATTCAAATCCGTGGTGAAAATGTGGAGTACGTCGATGACTACATATACCTGGGTAAGCGGCTATCATTTAGAGAGGTAGACAAGGAAGAGGTAGAGAGAAGAATTGCCTCAGCATGGAAAAGGTACTGGTCATTAAAACACATAATGAAATCTAAACTGTCTATCAAACTAAAAAGGAAGGTACTGGACTCTTGTGTACTGCCTTGCCTTACATATGGCTGCCAAACATGGTCCTTAACGGAGAATACAGCTAAAAAAATTACTATCTGTCAAAGAGCAATGGAAAGAAGTATGATGAACATTAGACTTACAGATAAAGTAAAGAACACGGAAATCCGCAAGCGAACACAGGTCACAGACGCAATAAACCACGTAAGAAAACTAAAATGGAAATGGGCGGGTCACCTGTCTCGTTCTGAGGACGGAAGATGGACAAAGGCAATAACCAAGTGGAGAGGCCCCAGTACTGGCAAACGACGTGTGGGCCGCCCGCTCAAACGCTGGGCGGACGATATTCGAGCTGTAGCTGGAGAGAGCTGGATGAAGGAAGCTCAAAATAGAGAAAAGTGGTCTAACCTGGAGGAGGCCTATACCCGTACAGGGGTTCCCTTTAATTGAATCGGATCACATAATTAATTATTAAATATAAATTTTATTAAAAAAAAAAATCAATGTAATGCATGAAATTAATTACTAATAGAATTATTAGATGATATTTATTATATTGAACTTCTGTATTGTTAAATTATAACTAATAGAATGTATCATTGTTACTATGGGAACGAAATAAAGGCTTATTTATTTATTTTATTTATTTAAATAAGAAGGGAAATCTAAGGCTATTTCTATTTTATTTTCTAGTATTTACTAAACTAATGCTTTTAAGTACTCAATACTAGATTGCGATTAACTAATTATTGAACTAAATAACATATTGAAAAAGAAGTAGGTTGTACCTTCAGTCATAAGAATAGTTTTTTTTTTATTAGAAAAATGTTGTTCAATCGCTACAGCTCAATATCAGCTCAATATTTCAGAAAGATGCAAACAACCAACCTGAATGATCTATTTGAATGAGTGAGCCGAACACCAGTTGCGAGTTTGAATGAGCCTCTGAGTCATACTGAGCTACTGATATAAAGATATAAAAGAGTGATTCATATCATATCCCAGTGATTGAAAGATGTATAGGCATCTATCATTTTTAGATTTTATGTAATTTCGTTCTATACCTACTTCAAATCCTTGTTGTTTTATTTATTATATATTTATGTTATTAGTTGTGTAGTTCTAGTGTAATTCTTGTTAATGTTCGGTACTATAGAACTAAATTCCTGTGAGCCCAGTTGAGCGCCATTCGGTGAAAAGTTAAAGCAAATTTAAGTTGTCAATTTCGAAGGTTCAGTGAGATAGATATTTTCCCCGCTGAGTGTTATTTATTGTTTTATTTTACGGCACTCAAAAGATCCTAGAGACATCAAAGAATCGACTTGTTTGCGCCAAACGGTCATAGACCTAACGTCATGCAGACTTAGCCGCGATACAGGCTTTGCCTAGTGCGGCTGTCATTGTAAATCTTTACTGTAAACACTGGAATGCCTAATAAAGATTATTATTATTATTTAGGTACATATATTTATTTAAAATTCTCTATAAATTACATTTTTAAACACTACTTATAAAATAAAAAATAATATTTAAAAATATAAAAAATAGGAGCCGACCAGTAGCGGGAGCATGGTCCAAGCTGTGTTGCAAGCGGTGGTTAGGGCTCCAGAGACAGAAACCTCCTCACGATACGTGCCGTTTCTAGGAAAACTGCCTTCTGTATCAGGCATATTATTATATTGGTCATTTTTTTGCTAATCTTAAATTTTTCGATTACTTTTCAGAATTAGAAATAAAAATCTACAAAAATGGCAGATGATATGCCCACATTCAAATGCGTGCTAGTTGGTGATGGTGGTACTGGCAAAACAACTTTCGTCAAACGACATTTGACTGGATTGTACGAGAAGAAATGTATTGCAACACTTGGCGTCGAAGTGCACCCCTCGGTCTTCCACACAAACCGTGGTCCTATCAGATTTAACGTATGGGATACAGCCGGCCAAGAGAATTTTGGAGGATTAAGAGATGCCTACTATATCCAAAGCCAATGTGCCATCATCATGTTCGACGTAACCTCCCATGTCACTTATAAAAACGTACCAAATTGGCATAGAGACTTAGTTCGTGTATGTGAAGGCATTCCCATTGTTTTGTGTGGTAACAAAGTAGACATCAAGGACAGGAAAGTCAAAGCAAAAACAATTGTTTTCCACAGGAAAAAGAACCTACAGGTAAGACCTTTTCCATTTCTCACTCACTCATATTTTGAAAGTTC